CAGACCCCCACCCTGGCACCCCACTGCACCCCGGGATGGGGCAGACCACCCACCCCAGCTCCCCGTGACGCTGCAGACCCCCCACCCCGGGTCCCACAGGCACCGGGAACGCTCCTGTTCCCCCCCCACATGGTGGTGGGTGCAGGGGTGGGTGCAGCAGGGCCCCCCCCACCCTCAGCCCAGCCCCCGGGGGTGACGGGGGGGTCCCCGAGCCCCCAGCCCCGGCAGGGTTAACCCTCCCCGGAGCCCCACTGTGGAGGAATGTGATGTCAGGGCTGGATTAGCCCCCGCGGTCCCGGAGCTGTGTGTGGCACAATCCATCACCCGCCGGCACAGCCCCCGGCGTGGGGGGCCGGGGGGGCCCGGGGGGGCTGCGTGCGTGGGGCAGCCGTGCTGCTGTCAGTGCCTGTGTGAACACACGTGTTCTGTGTGTCTGTGTGTGAGCACACGTGTTCTGTGTGTCTGTGTGTGAGCACCATGAACACACATGTTCTCTGCATGTCTGTGTGTGAGCACGTGTTCTCTGCATGTCTGTGTGTGTGCAGCGTGAACACGTGTTCTCTGCGTGTCTCTGTGTGTGCACACATGTTCTCCGTGTGTCTCTGTGTGCACACGTGTTCTCTGTGTGTCTGTGTGTGTGGGCACAGGGCAGTTGTTCTGGGGGGCAACGCCAGCCTGGTGACACCAAGGGGTAGTGGGAGTGGAGACCCCCTGAAATGGTGGGATGGTGGGAGAGAGACTGTGGGAAGGAGGGAGACAGAGGTGGGCACTGACAGCCCTGGGGTGTTTGGACTCACGGATGTCTGTCCGTGTGCTCAGGCACATCTGATACATGTGGGATGTGCATACATGTGGGATGTGCACGTGTGTGTGTGTGGGGGGAGCTCCAACAGCCAAGGGAGGGCCCAGTCACCCCAAATCCTCACCGAGGGAGGAGCAAGGGAGAGCCAGAGCAGGGAGAAGAGGCAGGCAGAGAGCAGGGTGTGGTGGTGTGGCAGGGGCCAGAGTGGGGACACACCCCACAAGACCCCTTTGTATCCTTTTCACCCCCTCAGGAGAGCCAGAGTCTCCTCTGGAGTAGGTAACCCCCCCAGCCCACCATGGGCACAGCCACCCCTGGCAGCCCCAAGATCACCCAACCCTAACCCCTAAGCCCAACCCTGACCCTGGGCTGCAAGTCTCGTGGCTGGCAGAGACCTTCCAGCTCCCCCGTGCCAGCGACAGTCCAGGATCACGGGGACACATCCCAGCTCCCTGCCAGGACAGGGGGGCCTGGCAGGGTCACCCCACTCCTCCCAGCTGGGATGTCCCCCCGGTGCTGCACAGCAGGGAGATGCCCCCCCTGGAACAAGCCCCTTTTACCTGCCCTGGGACCCCAATCTGTGCTCAGAGCTGCTTCCCCTGACCCCACACATTTCTGGACTCTGCCTCCAGCAGAAGTAACGTGCAGACCCCCCGCCCGCCACCCCTGACCCCCCCTTAGGCCGGGCTTTAGGGCCAGCCCAGCCCCTCCACATGGGGCAGCTAATCTGCGGCCCCACAAAGCACATTGCTTCAGGTTCAGGGGGTCTGAAAGGGGACGACTCAGGGTCACGATCCCACACTGGTGGGGGCTCCGAGCTCGTTCCAAGGTGGTCCCTGGCCTGGAAAAGCTGAGACGGGGAAGAGGCAGCTTCGGGGGACGTGGAGGGAAAGGGGTAGAGACGTCCCTGCCAGGACAGGCTCGGGACATCCCCCTGCTCCATCCGCCCTCCCCCGGCCCCGTCACACGTCCTCATTCCCCACCCAATCCCGAAATTCTTCCCTGCCCTTCGCACCGCTCCCAGGGAGGACCGGAGGTCCCTCCCCAGGCCACTCACCCCTCCAGGTGTCCCCCAGCACCCCAACGCCGCAGCTCAGGGGGCAAAACCATCCACCCCTCGCTCCCACGTGCACCCACACCCACCCGGGGCTGTGCCCTGACACGTCCCTGGACACGTTAACACAGGCTGCCACACGTGTGCCTCAGGAAGGGGAGGGCAGGCAGCCCGATCCTGTGTATCCAGGGCAGGGATAACCCACGGAGGGGGGCTGCAGGCTCCTGTTCCCCCCGGGGAGGAGGGACCCCCAGCCCTCCAGCACAGCAGAGCTCAGGAGGCCGTGGCAGGCTGGGCAGGGGCGGGGGGGGCTCCATAGGTGGTCCCCAGGCAGGCGGGCGACCGTCGCCACACGTTGTTTGCTTTGGCCCCCAGCACACGCTGCCCCCCAAATCCCTCCCCTACAGCCACTTCCCGACCCCCACCTTCACCAGGCTGGGTGGGGGAAAGGTTTTGGGGTGAGGGCAAGGGGGGCACACACACGGC